GAAGGCTCCCTTGGGGCCAGGAGTATAAAGGGTGCACAGACCCTGATCAATTTGGGCATATCCCGCGATTAACCTCCACCCATCACTGAGGGGCCGGGGATGGGTGGTCCAGGACTTAGTCTAGTGTAAGTTAGGATACCTGAATATTAAAAAAAAAAAAAATTACTGAAATTGTATAATTATTAATTATATCATCTAACTTCTCGTTCTTACATATTACCCTAGTCGATCGTTTCAAGTATCTTGAACAAGATTAAAATGACCAAAATGCCATTTTCAAATATAAAAAAATCTTCAAATTCAATATTTATCTTATAGTTCCATGTGATTACATTACAATATCAATTCAACAATAAATGTCAAATTACTGAGCAAAAAATTAACTATTCACTAGAAAATTCTTTGAGATCATGATTGTGCCTATTAAATAGATGATAAATTTCATATTTTGAATATATGTACCCTATTGTTTCACTTTAATTGTCAAAACACCGAGATATTACTTAGCTTATTACTGCCCTAAGTATTTTTCGTGGCGTCTACTAATCAAGATTCTGGACATAATTAGAACAATACTTCGGTCTTAACTTAAAGATACAAACAAGATTATTCAAAGTAAGATGAAGATTAACTTAATATGATCAAGAGGTAAAATGCTATATACCACACACATTAGAAATTTATTCACTAAAAGACCAAAAAAAAAAAAACTGGAAAATTTCAATTGAAAATAATTTTGAAGAGAATGCAATATAAAAAAGAAGACACCCAACTCTGCCATCAACAAAGCTGGTAACGATTTAGGCAATGAGCTTTTTTCAGCTAATCTTAGGCTCTCGAATTCGTCCCACTGATATCATCTAACATCCTCACTACCTCTGGCATTTTTGGTCTATGCTCTGGAACGCTATTAACACAATCCATCGCTATCTGCAAAACCTTCACCATTGCTTCCTCGATATTTTGGTACCTCATCAACTCTATATCGAACACTTCTGCAGTCCATTCCTCACTTACAACAGAAGTGACCCACCTGACTAGCTGATTGGCCTTTTCATTATCTTCAGAAAGTATAGTTGGCTTTCCAGTAAGAAGTTCAAGAAGCACGACTCCAAAGCTGTAGACATCAGAAGCTTGGGACAATTTCTTGGTGTCTGTGACTTCTGGGGCTTGATACCCTGATGATCGAATATGTAGCAACGAGGTTGTACTCATTAATGTTGCCAATCCGACATCTGAAACAGAGCCATACCCCTGAGCAGTAAGAAAAATATTCGATGTTTTTACATTTCCATGCACAAGATTCTGGCCAAGTTGTGTGTGGATGTAAGCAATACCCCTTGCTGCCCCTACTGCAATTCTTAGTCTAGCTTCCCATTCTAAAGAAATTTTGCTCTTGCCAAATTGTCCTGCAAAGACGACAAAATTTATAAGATTACAATTACTTGCAAAAATATCATCTACAAAAAGTTGCCGTTATAATGCTACAGATGAGTTTGTAGTTGACGTTGTGTGCTAAAATCGCATGACATTTTTTTTTTCCAGACTGATTCCTTGAAGAATTGACATTCTCATCTAAATCATGATTAAGATTAGCATCTCCAAGGGACTACTGATTTCCCAAAATTAATCCAACATTATCCATCTTCGAGAATAGAAATGAGAATTTTACTAGTGACCTACTATACCAAACCGTACCAAAGATTTCAATCCAGATTGCAAGTAAATGGGATATCAATATAACTGAAAGAAAAGATTTCATGATAAATGAAATTGAAGGAGTGATATAGCTCTTTTCCAAATTTCATTAGGATGCCTAATTACTCTTTACAAAGCCAAATTGCCAACAAGAAAAGCTTATTCGCTCTCTTTTTGACGCATGCATCATCTGTATATAAACTATTAAATAACTTTATTATGTACAAGTAGCATTATTCTATACACAAAAGGGAAGTAAGATATTTCCTTACCATGTAGCATGGAAGATGCACTCCCCGCACCATAATAATCATACACAATAAGCTTTTCGTCACGTGAATAGTAGTATGCAATTAATGTAGCAACACTTTCGTTCCTCATTTTTCCAATGACCTCTATTTGTTGCTGAAATTCTTTGCTTGTAACAATGACATCCTTCAATCTCTTTACCGCAATTGTAATTCCATTTTCTAGTGTTGCCTTGTATGAAGTCCCAAATGTTCCCTTCCCAAGAACCTCCGCAGAAGCCCGCAACATATCTTCAAGGTCAAAATCAGGATTACGGCCCTCAACAAATACAAGCTTCGGTCGAAGGTGATTTCTTGCGTTTATCGTAGTAATTTCCTCCATCATCGTCACTACTTGGGCCATTTTAGGTCTTTTCCTTGGGGTTTTTGCAACACAACTCATCCCTATTTCCAACATCTTTACCATTTGTTCCTCTAAGTTACGGTTTATCAAGAGCTCCACATCAAATATATTAATAGCTCGCTCCTTACCATTGACAGAATTAACCAATTTGACTAGGTCGACAACCTCATTGCCACCTATGGCGTGTAAAGGGGACTTCCGAGTGAGAAGTTCAAGCAGCAGGACTCCAAAGCTATACACGTCAGACTCTTGGGACACATTACGGGTGTTCTTGACTTCTGGGGCATGGTATCCAGCAGTTCGCTTGACTGGTATTGGTATCATGCTAGCCAAGCCAAGATCAGACACACATCCATATTGTTCTGAATTGAGGAAAATGTTTGATGATTTTATGTTCCCATGGACAAGCTTCCCACCACCTTGCTTGTGAATGTGAGCAATACCCCTTGCGGCACCCCCTGCAATTCTTAGTCGGGTTTCCCAGTCTAATTGAGCCCAATTCTCGCCAGTTAGCCCTGGGTAGATGAGGAAATGCATTTGATTGTATAGTAACATTTTAATATATCATGTACTTACTGGAAGGCAATTTATAGATTGAGGCTTGGTTATAGAGATCTAGGTGTTAAAAGTGCATGCTAAATTAATTACTTATATCAGTGCTAAATTGGTTATGCAGAAGAATTCGAGAAAGCCATTCAACATATTAAACATGTCAATTAGATGCTTAAATTTAGTGCCTCTGTATAATACTTAACAAATAAAGCAATCTTCAAAAACAATACCTTGTATGTGGTTATAATTTTTCTTCAGAAGAATAAAAGCGAGAAAGGAAACATACCATGTAACATTTCAGATACGCTGCCATTACTGTAATGATCATACACCACGAGTTTTTCATCTTTGGAAAAATAGTACGCCTTCAATGCACACACGTTTTCGTGCCTGACATTTCCAATTACCTCCATCTGTTGTCTGAACTTCTTTTCCGGAATCTTCACTGCATTCAATCTTTTGAGCACAACTGTGATTCCATTATCCATTGCTGCCATATATGCACTTCCAAATGTTCCCTTCCCCAGAAACTGAGCAGTAGATCTCAACATGTCCTCAAGGTCAGAAAGAGGACTAAAACTCTGAACAAATACCAGGCCAGAAACTTCCTTCTCAACAGATTTTTCTTTCTTCTGCAAATTTTCAACTGCGGATGGAGGTAGCTCATGATACGGAGAAGAAGCTCCAGGGATTGAAAAATCATAAGGCACATCAAGGACTTGAGAATCCAAACTGAAATCAGACGATATGGAGCTGTCACTTGGGCTCTGATCGTGAAACATTTGCCATAGTTGCTCTCTCCGGATCACAGCTCCCACCAATCTCTCCCAATTGTCATATATATTTGACATGTCTCTTCTCAGCCCTGAAAATCCTTTAGAGAGCCTTGGTATTTATGAACACGATCAAAGTCAACACTAGAAACAAGCAACCCGTAATACCAAACTCAATTAAATAGAAAATGTATTGTTGACATTGACTTTGCTGGAAGGTCTATTTTCCTTTCATTAAGAAATTATATATGCAACTTCTGGGAAATTAAGAAAGCTGAAAAATAATCAGAATAAGCAAAATAAGACGAAAAAAGTACTATTGCTAGGAAAAATATAAACTGGTGGGAAATAGGTTTCTTGTCATGATTTTCCCTTGTAATTTCACCATGACTAAAAAAAATCCAGTGGACCATAAATAGCAATACGATGGGGAATCCAAAAATCCATAAAGCCATATCCAAACAGAAAGACCAACTGCAAAATGTGTTAGGAATTTATGGGATAATTATGAATATGTATGTATTGGAAAAGTTTCCAATTAGTCGCAACTCTTCAAATGTAAATGATGCATACTAAAGAACCTTGTTGCTTCTGATTGGGTATGACTTTCAAAAAAGTACACGGTGAAAAATCATGACCTGTTGATATGATGCAAAATAGACCATTAAATATAAAAATATGTGATCTAATTGTCCACATTAAGTCAAAAGATGCAACCATTTGAAAAGATAATTGGAAATATATAAATAGCCCTAATTCTATATTTCCTACACCAAATCAATTCAAGAAAAAATGATTTCTAGATTCTCTCCTCTTTTCAAAATATTCTAAAACATTTTACTGAAATTAAATTCAGTTCAAATTATTTTCAGAAATGAGATTTTGTCTAGGCAATTCTAGTTTATTTCTATTTCGTTCATTAAAAATATTATATAACTTTGGAAGAAATGTTGTATCGTGAGAGACAAACGTCCATATGATCCTATTAAGAGCTTGTTTGGTAGAGATTAAAATCGGATTAAAATTGAAAAACTAGCCATTATTGTTGACTTTCATTAAACGAGTGAGACCTAATAACGACTATATTTTCAATTTTAATTGGATCAAAATCCCTCCCAAACAAATTTTAATACTAATATGGAGAGCGAAATCAATTTTAATGAGATGATTGCATTCACATATCTCATTTAATATTTCTCTTTCTAATTTCTACATTTCAGTAAGTCACATTTTGTACATATTTTGATGCTCATATCTTGGTTTCGGTGATTAACATTTATTTCAAAAATTCCACATATCATATATTCAACTTTTGAGTATGTGTTAGTCACTCTCAATTCCACCTATTCTACTTGAATTAAGTAATTATTTCAACTTTCAAAGTTTCTTTTCCCAAACAATATCAAATCCTTTGTATGTTAATATGATATCTTGTCACTCGTATCGTTTTCTTAGTTTTTCAATTTCTTTTCTTGAAGGTGAACTAAACAAGTAATGATATGATTCATGATACGATGGCAAATCCGTGTAAGGATCCATTGATCGTTGAGGAAGGGCCTATGAGTAGGTCGCGAGCGAAGCGGGTCAAAGAAGCAATATGACTACTTGCTCAAGTGACAGTGGACAAAACATTGATTCAAATGAGATGAAATAAAGTGGAGCAACTTGATTCAAGTAATGGACGAAGAAGCTGGACGAAACAACTATGTGACCGTATAGTTGTTCTAGGCATGCGATCGCATGACCCTTTACCAAGGCCACAGAGGAGAAGATCAGATGATCTATTCAACCTCATAGATTTACACTATGCGGCCGCATAGTATATTTTCGGCAGCAAATTTTTCAAATTTACGCGGTCTTTTATTTTAGTTAAAGCTCTATTTTGTAATTTTTTTTGTTATTTTCAAGGTTTAATTCCTTTTTAAGTTGGTTTTATGGATTCCATATAAATAGGACTCATTTCATTCATTGTAAAACACACAATTTAAGTAGGTTTGTAGTTTAAACGTTTACTTAATGAACTAGGTGGTTTAAGTGATGATTGTATACTCTGATAATCAATTTATTATTCATTTATGTAAAAATTCTATATTTCATGAACGCACTAAATATATAGATGTTAGACTGTGTTTTATTAGAGATGTAGTGTCTCAAGAATTGATAAAATTTGAGAAATTGCATTTAAATTATAACCTTGTAGATATGGGCACTAAAGTGCTTCCCCTAGTAAAGTTTAGAAGTTGCCTTACACTTCTAAACATCGGAAAACACTACAAAAAAGATAGTCGTTTGCAACACTAAAAAGGCAACATTTGTTGATAAATGTTGCTACAAGTGTTTTTAGCAACATTTTAGTAAGTGAAGTTGCCATTGATATTAATAAATACCTTTTGCAACGTTTTGTAGGAGAATATTGCGATCGACACCCTTTTCCAACGTTTATTGAGTGTTGTGGAATGTTTCACCTTTCGCAACGATTTTGCAACGTTTTTTAGAAGAATGATAGACCCCCTTTTTGCAATGTTTAATAAATGTTGTGGAATGTTTCACCTTTCGCAACGTTTGACGTTTTTCAAACGTTGCGAAAATTTTTGTATTTTTTAAAATATACGCAACCCAAATTAACCCAAACCCTGTATTTATTCACGTCTCCGTTCATTCTTCTCCAACCCGCCACCTCCACCTTCTGGCACAATGCCCATCGGACAAAACCACCAACAGCCACCACGCCCACCAACAACAACCAACCACACAACCACCAACAGTTTCAGTCTTACCTCATCTCATATGATCGTGAGCACCGATTTTTTTGCACAAGCCCTTAACTGCAGCAAAAATCGATCACGTTCTAGACGAAATTAAAGAAGACCCATGGTTGGGCTGGGTGCGCTATGTGGAGGGGAAGACAGCCCAGTGGTCCGCGACCATGGATTAATCGACGGAATCGAAATTTGGGATCTTCAGACCTAGCTATGCGAACTGCGCGACTAGTTAAGCTGACTTCCCTTTTGGTTCCTCGTATTTTCTTAAGTTTTCCTTCAGGATTGTTCCACTTGTTAAGGTGATGGTCTCTGCCTCGAAGTTCTACTTTCTTTCTTTCAACTGAACTCAATTTTCTCAACAAAATAATTGGCATTGTGGTGTAGGGGTGAGGTTGGAAAATGGATTGCTTTCATTGCAGTTGTATTGAGGTTTTTTCCCCCTGACATTTCCCAGGTAAAATTGAGTTTGTATTTGTGAATGATGAATGGGACTCTATCCATCAAATATGGTTCAAATTGTCAACAATAGTATTAAAGTTAATGCTATCATAAGATTATAAAGGTATTCGCTCTCATGTAAAACAAAGTCTCTTAACTCACAGGATGTGGCATTTTAGAACACTTGATCGCCAAATGCATACCTGCTTGAACAACAATTCAGGTTTCACATATATGTATTATCATAATAAAATCAGGTTTGGTGTTGATTGGACACCATGATGCTTGTTTGTTTACTACTGTTAGGTGGCCGATAATCTACTTCATGATCCAGCCAGCAGTCAAGAAAATTTTATCTCCTGTTCTCAAACGCTCAGAGGCAAGGTAGTCTTTTCATTATAATTATAATTATATTTGTTTCTCCATTTGAATTTTCAGAAGTGCCAATTGATGATATATGCAGATTGTTCATTTCCAATAATCGGTACACATGGGACGAAATTTTAATATATTTTTCATCCAATATACTATTTAGTGCCTATGCTTTCTGCATTACTGAACAAACTGTTTCGCGCGGTTACTCGCTAACAATTAAAAGGGATCAGATGATTGTGTAAGGGACAAACCTCTTGAAATAAAGTCCCAAAAGGGGTGTTTATCAAATAGGAAGATTACAATTTGGACACAAACAAGATGCCTCCAAGGGGCGCAAGCACACAGGTACAAGGGAATTGAAGTAATTAAAGTTAATCTAAATAAAAGTAAATTACAGATTCTCTATTTGAGAGTGAATTTTTTCGGGGGCTTTCTTCATTGCTTTCCTCTTCCTTTTATACTCCTTGGGCAATTCTAAACCGTTTGGACTCTGCTCGTAACTACCCATTTCTTTCATAGTGGCTGACTGGCCAATAACTACCATTCGTAACTCCCATCACCACGTTTTCTTCATAACCACTTGTCACTAATTTTCTCAAATCATGGGATGTAATCGTGATGTGCTCAAACTGCCTCAAACAGTGACTTTTAGATAACCGCAGAGTTTAGTAATTGGATTCTGGGCGATCCTGCAATTTTGGCGACGACTCCTTCGCTCTGGGTGTTCATAAGGCATTTTACTCGCTCAACATCTGGGCGTTTCTGCAAGCTTGAGCGACAATGTTCCTTTGTTTGTGGGCTGCTTACCCTTTGCTTGGGCTTTCATCTTGGATTCTCAACTAGGCTTCGCTCCTTGGGCCATTTAATTTGGGTTGCACTTTTAGTGTNAACAATTACCCCTTAATATGACAGAATTAATATTCAATAATTAATGTTTGCCATATTCACTTCGTATTGTCCAGCAACACTTGAAATTCGAAATTCCCAAGAATTTCAATCATCACTTCCACACTCGAAAAGGTGTAACTTTTACAAACCCTTATAAACCCGAACAACACGCTATTTCGTAGTACCATTAACCCACGTTCTAGTATTTTGCACTTCGTCCTCGCTATATTTACTGTTCATCTTCTTGCTTCCTTGCTACGCTTCTCAGGCGAACTTCTCTCATCCAATGGCCACTTCGCAAACCCAGTCTGATGCTCTTTTCAGTTTTGAGGACTTCCAAAACCTCCTCACTAGACCATACGTAAATCCATCTTACCTTTCTCAAGACACTCCAGACTCAAATGAGTTCTTTCTAGGTCCATTGTTTAAATATGCCGAATCGGTGGGGAAAACGGAGGTCGGTCAATTGTTCCCCTACACTGAGGACCTTCCCTTCTTGAACTCGCTGCCATTGAAATATCATTTTGATACTTCTTTTTATTTAAGTGGTGTTGTATTACATTCTAATGTTCAAGTGTATGGATTCAAAAATTTGTAATGAAATTAGCATTTTTT